ATTATAACATTCAGAATAATTAGATATTGAAGAATAGTAATTAGTATCATACAATTCGAATTAATCAAATAAGACTTTATCATCATATATACAGGGTCTAGAAGTAATATATTACCTAAGTAAGGGATGTTCCAATAGATATGGAAGAGTAGGGAAAAGTTGAGAATATGCAGTATGTGTAGACTCATGTTGGCTATGTTAAACAATATTTAGAGGATATCAAATTAATAGTTAAAAATCAATATCAATATCAATTCTTATAAATTATTAATTTGAGTATTTATCCATCTCCATTTGAAATAATGAGATTTTTTAGATTAACTGTAGAAATGCTTGAATAATCTTTGGATGGTGGGTTTATTTATTAAGCAGTTTTGAATTTGGAGATATTTTCAGCTATTCAATATTTATAGATATTCGAAACAGATGATAGATGGTAAGAATTTGATGAAGAGCATACTGAATTAGCTTTGGAGTTGAGTGAATTAATTTTTAATCATCTCATTACTAAAGTAATAATCGAATTAAAAATTTGATAATTTATTTGATTATTTTATTATATCTCATTTTAATTTTATAATAAATTTTAAGCATAATTATATAGATCTATAAATTAATTAAATGTTATTCATCAAAAAGGATTATTACTGTATTTATTATATTCATTAATCACAAATAATTTTGGTGTAATAAAAGTACCTTAACTAGAAGGAAGTTTAAAATTCTGCTTTACAGTTTCTTATTTTAAAATAGTTCTTTAAGATGGTTTTAAACCTGTAAATTTCGTGTTTCTTATATAATAAATTGATATATACGATTACAATATTTAATAAGAAATTTATTGAATAACATTAAAATAATAAATAATTATAAGTGTAGTTTCATCAGCTAAAAGCATTCTTTTCACTTTTTAATCTAAATAGTTCTGTTTTTTATTCTATAATTTTAGATTCTGATTTATATTCTAAAGTTCTTAATTAATATTCTCATTTAATTTCAGGTTTTTCAATTCTTCTTAATGATAATAATAATAATATTATTATTATTATTATTATTGTTATTATTATTATATATTTTTTTTACATCTAAATTAGATTATATTTATATTACTTTATCCTGTTGATTCTTAATATAATAAAATAGCATGTTCTATAAATTTATCATAATCTTCTTCATACTATTCTAAAGGATAGACTTTTTCAAAATTTCCTAAATTCTAATTTTCATATTAATCTCTAATTTCTTAACATTACTTTATGAACTTTGACTTTTCTTCAAATGTTACTTATAAATTCAATTCTAATAATAAAGAATGTGCTTGGGTGGATAGAACATATTATGATAAAAGTTGTGATACTGCTGATTTATCAATTTAATCTGAGAAAGGATGTCATGATTATTATCCTGATGGTAATTGTACAACTAAAAGAATGGGAGGATAATCACCTACATGTACAACTGATGGATTTCAATGCACAATAATGAAAAAATGTTCAAATATTTAGCATAATAAGCATGTATATAAGGAACAGATGAACCTTGTATATGCAGTTAAGGAAAATGTTATAGATATACAAAATGTACAGATCTAATCTATTCTACAAATTTAGAATGTAATTCTATTCATCCTTAATGTACTACAAATGAAATTAACTGTGTTTTTATTACTAAATGTTCTAAAACACTTAAAGTTGGTTGTTTTATAGGTATCAATAACAATTCGATTGGAAAATGAATTTGGACACCAATCAATATTAAAATATCAGCTCCTAATTAATATATTGAATTTAGTGAATTTTCAAATGCTTAATATCTTAATCATAATGATTGTTATAATTATTCTCTTGGTTTATGTACAAGTGATGGTTTAAGTGGTTGCATTAAATTAGATAATTGTACAAATTATACTATTGAATCTGCATGTTTTATTGATAAAGCTGGTAAAACAATCAATTCATCTGGATCTATAATATAAACAGGTAAATGTAAATGGACATCTGGTAGATGTGTTACTTAAGGTTGTTCTGATATTATTGGATATAATCATAATGATTATAATAGTTAATTGAGTACATGTACTTATAATGGTAATAATTGTATTGTATAAAGTACATGCAATAATTATATTACAAATGATTCATTCACAGTTGCTACAGGCACAGATGGTAAATGTTATTGGAATAATAATACATGTATAGCAATGAAATGTGAAGATTATCCTATTTCTTTTTGTTCACTTTATTCATCTACTTGTATTCAAGATGGATCATAATGTGTTTCATTAAAAGATTGTTCTTCATATAAAAATTAAACTGCTTGCGATTATGGTAGTCCAACTAATGTTTGTGCATGGATTATAACATCTCTCAATCTTCTGGATCTTGATAAATTTCTATCCTATTTCATTAATACATCAAAATGATCTGCACAAATTTGGTTATATTATAAAAAAAATTCTCTAAGTATTTTTTTACTTGAATTTTGCTATTTTCATTTTCACTAAAATTATATTAATTAAATTATATATAGCTTAAATTGATTTTGAATGTTCGAAGCATGTTAAAAGAACAGGGTAAAAATATGGAACAGATACCCTGTTCTTATGGATTATACCATTCTAGAGAATTAACAATGATTGATTTGAATTATGTTTTTCATTTTTTGTTATAACCCAAACAATAGGAACAGAAAGTTATATTGTTACCATTTAAATGGGAAGAGAAATATCTATTTCAGATTTCTTTACACATTAAATATCTGTTTGGATAATTTTATCTAATACTTTATTTAATTTTTGAAAATATTTTACTTCTATATTATCATTCTTATTGTTAAAGTTACCCCTAAAACGTGAAAAAATTGTATGATGCATAATGTTTAATAAATAATTATATATGATGAATTCTCATTTATAATTAAGTACAATATATTTACTGCTGCTTTCATCATGTCTGATTACAACTTTGTATATTGATTGGTGACTGATTATGGTACATCACCTCTAATATCAAAACATTTTAGTGTTATGATTTTGGTCATCTAAGTAATTAAAATTAGCTAAATACTTGATTTGGTTGAGGAATGATTATCCAATCACTCAAATGCATCAACTTTGTTAATAGATGGAGTTTTCTAATGAATGATAGATTTAGCTATCAGAATTTAATTATTCTCTTACAAAAATATAAATCCTATCATTTTATTTATAAACCTTTTAAACCATCACTAAATGCAACTCATAAAAGGAATGGGAGGTTTAATTCGAACATAAATAATTCTTGCATTTGCATCTATTTGTTCAATTACATAAGCCTATTGTGATAAATCTATTATTATACAGTTTAAAACTTCTTATCATATAATGCTCTCTTATTCACTTCTCCTACCAAATCAAGTATTTGGTCTAGTTTTCTTGCTATTTCTATTCATTGCTATTCCATTTCTGATTCTTCTTTATATACACTATTTATCTATCTTTATTTGAATATAATTCCCACATATTCTACTCATTGATTTCTTATCATTTAATCATTTTATTCTTAGCCTCTATGTAAGCTTAGCTTCATAATTCACATACATTTTCTAAATATTTTATTTAGTTTTACTATTTCATTTGTATAACACTTATCAAACTTATTAAATATAGAAATAAATTTTCAATTCTATATATATTAAATATTTAATGAATCATTCTGCTTTTTCCACCATCATAACTATTTCATTTAATGTTAGGTCTCTGAATATCATCAAATATTCTCTTGCTTATTCTTAATAGCATTATAAGACTTCAGCTAATCTTGTTGCCCTTTATTCATCTAAATCACTCCAATTCCATTATAACTAATATCTATAGAATTAATCAATAATTATACTAATAATACTATTACTATTAATTTCCCATGGTATTTCTTATTGTCCATTTCCTTTAACAATTATTATAGTTTCTCTTTTTGTTATTTAAATTAAGGATCCTTCAGAATTTCTCTTAATTTATGCCATTTTATATGATGATTATGATGTTTAAAATGATGATGAAAACCACCAAACATATGACGAGGAGGATGTCCAAATCCAAATTATCCTTAATATGGAGGCATTTAAGGAGGAATCATTCCAAATTAAGAAATATGTTATGGAGATATAAAAGGTGGTTATTACAAGGATGGAGGTCGATAAGATTAAGGTGGATAATATGGTGGAATATATTATGATTAATTATATTATTATTATTATGGTTCAGGTTCTTTATATTAAGAACATGCTCCACAAATGATTCCTTCTAAATTTTCAAATGAACAATGCTTACAAATCCATAAATTCATTGGTACTATTGTAATCTTAACTGTTTAATTCTTAACTCTCCATTAAAACTTTTAAATCCTCATCCGAACTTATACTGATCAAATCACCATCATCTTCTTTATATATTAAACTATAGTTTTTCTATTTTATTTAAGGATGTAATTTTATTATGTGATTCTTTATTTACTCTGGAATTGGATTCTCTAATTTGAAAAGATGTATTTCCTTATTACAAACTAGTTTTATTATCGTTTAATATATTTTTATATCATCTAATCTATTCAACTTATAAATTATTTATTAGAAATCCTATATTCCAATCAATTCTAATTTCAACCATTTATAATCAATATATATTTAATCATAGTAAGGTAGATAGCATATTTTCCATTCAACAAATAAACTTCATCTTTGCATATTACTTTAAGGTAATTATATAAGAAATGAGCTAAGATCACTATATTTACTATAATAATCAAAAAAATAATATTTATATCATACTAGATCTTTATATTACTTATTTCACCATTTTTTCTTTCATTACCTTTTTAAGCATTATAGCATTACTCTTAATATAATTATTTTAACATATAATTAATCAAACTTAATTACTTATATTAAAAAAATTTAAAGAATTTATTTTCAATTATTTATGTAAATTTGTATTAATTATTAATTTGGAATCAAAATGTAGATTCAGAGCGAGATATAAATCTCCTTTTTAATTGCTAATGAATATTTGAAGAAGAGAAATCAATTCTGAGGATTAAAATATATTATAAACAAAAGTTTTCATAGCATTGCTGAAGATATTTAATTGTTTAAATTTTTTATATTAATATAAGAGAAATATGTTTATGAATATAAAAGATATAATGAATATACGAAGTTCTTAAAATCTTTTGATGATAAGCTTTAAAAAATATTAATTCGATCTATGAGATTCATGAATGGTAAAATCATCTCTATTATTTAGAATGGCATAAATAATACAAAATTGATGTTGTTTGTGATTAATGGATTGAGAAGTAAGTTTAAATTGAAGCAATTATGGCTCATATCAGGTAGACTGAATTAGAGAAAGAATTTAAAGATAAATGAAATATGTTTGATAAAAAAAATGCCATAATTCTCTCTCTTGCTTATTCCGCAATTAAAATTGTATTTTTGCTAATGAAATTCATGAATTCGAAGATGAAATTACAAATCTCCAAAATATTGGTTGCCTTTAACTTGGTCTGAAATAAAGTATCTATCTATTAATAATTTTACTGTCAAATCACATTGAAGGATTTATATGAAAACCATGATTTTTTAAAAGATTTCTAAATAATAGAGTCCTTTTAAAAGAAAGCAAATATGAGTTTGAATTCTCACCAATACAACAATACAAGATACCAGAAGAATAAAGTTTGTTTATAGACATAATCGTAAATGGCTATCGTTAAAAATTCTGGTCGCTTTACTTAAATTCGCAAAAAAATAAATGATTCTAATTTATATATTATGTATAATCAATTTCTTTGATTTACATAAAGAATAATTTTGATAAAAAAGAATTATAGAAGTATAAAATATTGAAAAAGAAGAAAATCTAGAAAAGTATTATTATAGTCAGAATAAAATTGACTATTTAGGTTCTTATAATTTTGAAACATTCTCTCTAATTGATAGACAAATCTATTGTCTGTGTCTCCATTTCTTACAACTTGCATTAATATATTAGTTCTAGGCTTAACCTTTTTTGGCTTCTTCAGTAACTTAATTTGCTTTTTGGTTGAAGTTGCCGTTGTTTACTTAATAATATGGCTTAAATCTTTTTTTATTGAAATTTGAATTCATTACTACCTAATTAGAACCAAAAGATGATAGTACACACATCCTTATGATTATATTCAACAAATAATTATTCTACCAAATTATTTATTAGCATATAAATCCCTTTTATTCTCATCTAAAATTTTCAAATATTTTCATTCTCTTTCCATTAATAATTCTCTTTTTACATTTTCAAACTATTTTCTAATTCAACCATTAAGCATTAAATGAGTTATCATTTATTTTTTATATACATTTTCTACTATTTTTTAAACTTAATCAATAATTAATTAAAAGAAGGATAATTAAGAAGGTATCTTTCATCATATAACCATTAGAATATATATCACAATTAGCTTTAGTTACTTTTACTATTGTTTTAAGATCAAAGATAAAATTCTTTCTTATACAGGTAACATTCTAACAAATTTTTATTCAAATACATAATAAAATAGATGGATATTGATCAATTTTTTGTGTCAACATAAATTCTTGCTAAAGTTTATAAAATTACATATTTAATTTATCTTTAAAATATCATTATAAAAATAATAATTAGAATTCAGATTTCAATAACACATATCATTATTTTTTCTGCATAAGCTGCTCTATTTTATAAGTACTTATGAGCATTTAGATAATTCATAACAATTAACCTTTCGATTACACAAATCTTCAAGAGCTACTGTCAATAATAATTTAGTAATTTAATGAATATTTATTAGATATCTATGATGGCTATTAACAAAATTAATCATAACTCTAAGTACATTAAGTTGATTTTTATTTATATAAAATTCTAAACTTTTTAGTTTTAGAAAATAGTGCATACCTATGAAAATATTCCAAATTTTTATCAGAATCAGACCAGAAAAGTAATCTATCATTTTTTAACCTTCTCTCTTATTGCAATACTACATCTTTAAATCTAACTTAATTTTATATTATAGTAAAAAACTTCAATATCATTTCTCTTTTATACATGCTACCTATTTATCTCATAAATCGAATGAATCATTGCATATGAAATAAACTATTTAAAAATCTCATTCTATATCTTCTTAAATATTCCTTTTCATCATTAAATGACCTTCAATACATACCAAAATACTTACTAACTAATTGCTTAAAGCTTCCATCTTTTTTACTCTGAATTAAGTTAGAATTTTTATCTCTAAATTTTAACAATATTTCTATTTGATATTAAATTTTTGATTCCGTCTCAATATATAGAGCATTCAACTTATCAATTTAGATCTTTAGATTTGTTGTTAATTGCAGCTTCAATCTTCAAACATTCATTTTAGAAAGAATACTATAAATAATATGAAAACATTAGAAAAATTCATATTAATTGAGATCTCCGAAAAAAAGGAAATTTTTCCTCTATAAATTTGCCATTATAGAAATAAAAACAAACATTATTTAAAATGAAAAAGATTAATAAGGATATCTAATAGGATGAATAAAACTCAGAAAATCAACATTAAAGATAAAATGATAACATCTCTAATTAAAGGAACTAATAACATGTTTCTTAAACAATAATATAATCATAACAATAAAACTTTTATAGCATTTAACACTTCAATGATTATGAACAAAAAAAATTAAAGGAACAATTGGATTAATAAAGGTTACTATAACTAGTAAAAAAATATGAAATTCAAAAAGATTAAAATTGTTAAGAAAATTAAAAAAAATAATTCTGATTAGAAAATTATTTCAGAATAGAAAGAAAGAAAAAATAAAAGTATCTAATATTAAAACAAATTAAATACAAGAAAACAGATAAAACATTCATTGTTAAGCTTCCCCTCAAATAAAATAACAATAAAAAACATAAAAATTTGAGTCCAAAATTAAGGTAAGTAATAAACCTTAGATAAAAGCACTGCTAAACCAATATCAATAAAAATTATATAAAATTCAAATCTATTTCTTGGATTTTCAAATGGATAAATTAGAAAATACTCATTAAACTCTAATAATATTGTAAAAAAGTATCTCATAAAACATGAATACTTTAATCAGATAAAATTTTCTTCAATTATTTTTAAAGAAAAATACTGTTTAGGAATAATAAAATTCTAAAATTAAATTATAAAAATAAATAAACAGAAATTTTTTTAGAAGCTAAATAAAATATTATCTAGTGTTCTTATTATTATAACCCAAAAGATAAGCTATATATAATTCATGCTTTACAAAACAATAATGTAATATTAATTATAAAATTAGAAAATCTATAAATCAACAAGAATTAATGGAAAGGAAATTAAAGGTAAGGAACGATTGTTACATTAAAAAGTAACTAGTATTACCTTTTCACGCAAAACTCTTTAGTTTATATATGGTTGCCAAAATGGTAGCATAAATGGATATTAAATTAGATTACCGTGAACAATAATTATTAATTTATCAATATATCTATAAAGAGGTTTTTAAAATTTTCTTTTGTTGAAAAATAATTAAATTCTAAAAAATAATTATTTTAGAATTTTAAATTTTACTCACTTAATATCTGAACAATATCATCAGAAAAATCTAAAATAAAACTTTTTCACTTTGTTTCTGAATTCTAAATATGTTACTTTGTCATTATATTCTTATATACTATAGAATAATATAATTTCCATTATGAAAATTTAAAACTTAAATTGCTTGCGGACAACTAAAAATCTCTATTTTACCATTCAATTAAATGCAACTTCATAAAATTTAATCTATATTTTTTATTCATCTTTCATCTACACTTTTATATTTATTCTAAGCAATTAACTATCTCTAACAACTTTTCTAAAGAGAAGAGCTTATTTATTCTTCATTAAAACTTCTTCAATTAATGATAAACTTCCTTGAAAAAATATGAATATTACGCTTTTTAATTTCCTCAGTTATGGAAAATCAAGTTAATTGTTTGATATATCAATTTAGTTTAATTGGTTAGTCATTGATACTTGTAATTCTGTTAAATTATTTTGGAATAGATTTAATAGTTTTTAAGTCTAAACTACGAAACTTTAATATAATTCTATTCTTATGCTCTTAATAATATATAAAAAGATAATTTAATATTTTTATCATTGGCTTGTTTAAATACAATATCATTTGATTAAGGGATCTAGAAATATGAAATTAAGGATTAAGTTGAGAAGATAAGAATTTAAATCATAAAAACTGAAGACAATAAATTAATTTATAATTAGAATGGTGTAATTTTAAGAGAGTGAGACATCTTTATAAATCAAAATAATGAATAAATAAGAGAATCTTTCATTGATTTATAAATATTGAATACTATGGATTAAATTAAATATCTTAAATGGAAAGGGGAATATGGATATTAAAATTATAAAATTAGTAAATGGACAGCGACTTGGTAGGGGTTACTTTTAAAAAATGTTGGAGGATATGTTTATGATGGATTAAAGTAAGGTAAATGGAAAGAATTAACTAAAAAATTATTAGAAGTTTGATATAATTATTTGTTATAATAATAGTAATGCTCAAGTCTATTATTGTGGATATTATTTAAATAATTTGAGAAGAAGTGAATGGTAGTATATATATAGCAACAAAAGAATGTATTAATTTATTTTTTATTTAGTGGTGGTGGATTATACAATAATCAGGGTTAAAAAACAGGAAAATGGATTACCCCATCTGAGGAATTTTTGGGAGTATATAAAAATCAAATTGTTGTTAAATAATAATAACGATAATATATTATAAATTTTATTTTAATAAATTTAAAATTAATTAATCTCTTAAAATATTTTTTTTATTTGCATTACTTTTACTTA